GGAGTTCACTGAGCTTCTTGTTTGTGTATATTAATGGTCTTCATCAAATTGGGGATGCTTTTGGCCATTATTTCTTCAAATATTTTTTTCCTGTTCTTTTCTCTTCTCCTCTGGGACTCCCATTATGCAAGTCTTCATGCACTTGATGTTGTCTGATAGATCTCTGAGCTTTGTTAATTTTTCTTCATTCTTTTTTCTTTATCTTCCTCAGGCTATATAACCTCAACTGATCTATCTTCAAATTCACAGTTCCTTTCTTCTACCTGTCTAATACTGCTCTTGAGCCCTTCTGGTGATTTTTTTCATTCTGCTTTTCAACTTTATAATTTCTATTTGGTTCCTTTTTATAATTTTGATTTCTTTTTCAAGATTTTCTTTTTGGTGAGACATCATTCTCATACTTTTAATTCTTTAGATGTGGTGTTCTCTATCTCTTTGAACATATTAAAATAGTGGATTTTTAAAGTCTTTTCTGGTCATGCCTCAGGTACAGTTTTTATTGTCCTTGGGTTTCTATTGATTGCTTTGTTTTCCCCGTGTATGGGACATATACTGTCTTGTTTCTTTGCATGCTTCATAATTTTTTTGTTAAGAACTGGACATTTTAAATAATGGGGCAACTCTGAAATCAGAATCTCTACCCTTCCCAAGGTTGTTTGTTGTATTTGTTGTTGTATTTATTGTTTGTTGCTTTAGTGACTTTTCAGAACTAATTCTGTAAAGTTCATATTCTTCGTCATGTATGGCCATTGAAGTCTCCGTTCAGTTTAGTGGTCTGCTAATGCTTGAACAGAGATTTCCTTAAATGCCTGGAACCAATAAATCTCCCACTCTTGGCCAAGTGGCTCTGTGTGTGTTTTGGGGCTCATCTGTATTACTCAGCCAGGAAGTTTATAATTCTGTCTTAGCCTTCACTTCCTACTTGTGCAAAGCCTCAAGGTCAGACAGAGGTGAGAGTTTAGTCTGGTTTTAGGTCTTTCCTAAGTTTGTGCTTAGCCCTCCACGTACGTATAACCTTCTAGATTCCTAGTAATACATCAGAGCTTTTCAAAGCCCCTATTGACATCTTATTCCCAAGCTTTTCCTTTTAACCTTTTGGGTTGGTCTACCGTTTGCTTCAACTGTTTCCGTGACCTCAGGCAGCCATGAAGTTAAAACATTTGCCGGTGATGATTTCCTCAGACTTGCCCCTAACCCACTCCCTTGTCCTCCAGGTAGAAGTCTTTTAGCGCTATGCAAGAGTGAAGGAACCACCACAAAGGTCAGACAATGACCTGTCTTTGAGAATGAGGCTTTGAAAGATCTCTAGCTCAGTTTTGGTTGCTCCAGCCCTGGCAGTGAGGAACCAGGAAAAGCTAAAACTCCATAAATTGCTTTCATTACACATATGCTGCCTTTTTACTTGAATCAACGCTCCTGAGTTGCTGTAATCATTTGATTAATTTTCAGAGGTCTGAAATAGTTCATTCTGACAATTTTTACTAGGTTTTTTTTGTTGTTGTTGTTACTGTTTTTATGGAGGGGCAAATTTTTGGAGGTCCTTACTGTGCCATTTTGGCTGAGTTTTCTTTCTTTTGAGTGAGCTGTGGTAGTTTCTGTCTTTTAAGGAATTCTTCTAAGTTGTTGAATTTATGGACATAAAATTTTCTTTCTTTCTTTTTTTTTTTTTTGAGGAAGATTGGCCCTGAGCTAACATCTGCCAATCCTCCTCTTTTTTTGCTGAGGAAGACTGGCCCTGGGCTAACATCCATGCCCGTCTTCCTCCACTTTATATGGGATGCCGCCATAACATGGCTTGACAAGTGGTGCATCAGTGCGCACGCCTGGGAGCCGAACCAGCAAACCCTGGGCCGCCGCAGCGGAGTGCACACACTTAGCCGCTTGCGCCACTGGGGCAGCCCCTGAAATTTTCTTAATATTCCCTATCCTTCTAATGTCTCAAGGGCTGTTCCCTTTTTCATTCTTGATATTTATAAGTTGTGTCTTTTTGTCCTTGTCAAAGATAGGTTTATCAATTTTATTTCCTCTTTTTCGAAGTACCATCTTTTAGGTTCAGTAGTAATCTGTTGTGTTTCTGTTTTTAATTTTATTAATTTCTGCTCTTATGCTTATTAATTCCTTCCTTCTGGTTTCTTTGGGGTTCATTTGCTCTTTTTTTTTTAGATTCTTAAAAGTGGAAGTTAGATCATAGATTTTAGATCTTTCTTTTCTAATATAAGCATTTAACACTGTAAATTTCCCTCTAAACACTGATTGGCTGCATCCTACAAATTTTGATGATGTGTTTTCATTTTAATTCAATTAAAACATTTTAAAATTCCCTGTGACTTCGTCTGTGACCCATGGATTATTTAGAAGTGTGACATTTAATTTTAAAGTACTTGGGACTTTTCCAGATGTCTGTCTCTTATTGATTTCTAGTTGTATTTTGTTATGGTCAGATAGTATGCTTTGTATGATTTCATTTCTTTTAAATATGTTATAGTTTGTTTCTGGCCCGAAATATGGTCCTTCTTGGTCAGTGTTCATGTGCACTTGAAAAGAATGTATATTTTCCTGTTTTTGAGTAGAATATTGTATAAATATCAGTTAGGTCAAGTTAGTTGACAGTGTCCTTCTGGTCTTCTCCATCTTTATTAATTTTCTCTTTACTTTCTCTGTCAATAACTAGTGGAGGAGTGTTGAAGGCTTACATACCTTCTTGCAATTTTTGGAGCTATTATTCCACTGTATTGTAGCTTCCATTGTTGCTAATGAATTTTGTTGCCATTCTCATGTTTTTTTCTTTTGAAGTAATTGGTCCTTTTTCCCTGTCTGGTTTTAAAATCTTCTGTTTGCTATTGGCATTCTCTAGTTTTCAGTACAATGTAAAATGAAATCCTTTCATAAACTTCTTTGTATACATTGTGCTTCTTGTGTCAGTTTATTTTTTTAAAAATTAGCTTTTGAGAGTTTGCAGCCTTTTTCTTTTCAAATATTATTGCCTTTTCTCACTTCTCTCTGTAATCTCTCTTTCTGGCTAGGAGTTAGTCTTTGTTTATTATTTGCTATAGCTGTGTGTCAGAATCTAAAATCTCCTCTAGTGTCCTTGTTTTTATCTCCTCTGTTATATTTGGGTTTTCCTGCAGTTCTTTTAGCTGCAGTCCTCTCTTGTTGTACAGGAGCTCTACTGATGTGGTGGTAAGGTGTGGAAGGAGAGGAAGAGTCCTGTAGTTCAATGATTAGGTCTCAGTCTTTTAATGAGCCTGAGTTTGGTATTGCCTTCCCCCCCCTCAGGCTAGAGGGGGCTAGAGTATGGGGTTATTTCTCTTACCCTAGCTTGGTGAGGCTTTGGTAAAACCCTACTTGCTTTTATTCTGGTAAAATAGTTTCCCTTGTGGGCAGGACTTGTTAAGGAGGACGTTACTTTTCTCCTCCCCTGCCGGAAACATGAGGGGATTTTTCTCCAGTCCTGACTTTTACCTCCAGGAAAGTGTGGCGGCTCCGAAGACTGAGTCCCCTCAAGTTTTTAACTCTCAAGCTAACCTCTGAGCCTCCAGCAATTTGTCAATTATGATTCAAAGTGTTCTAACCGATAATAGTTCCAGTTCTGGGCTTCTGCATCTGGGCTTCTCTTCACAGTAGGCTGTAATTCTCTGTGTCTGCCTGTTTGTGTTCAGGGCATCAGTTTGCCCTATGACCTCAGTTGTTAGGGCAAGAGTGACAACTTCCAAGCTCTTTACATGTTGGACTAGAAATGGAAGTCTTATGCTCTCTTTCTAGAGCTCTGATTTAATGTATATTAAGATTTCTTATTTTAACTCCGTTATCTTTTACTGTCTCATGTTTTACATCTTTTTAACACTCAGTGATGCATTTTGGGTAATCTCTTTTAATTTATTTTTTCTGTTCACTAACTTCATTTTCAACTGTTCTAATCTACTGCCTAACTCATTCATCATGGTTTTTTTTCCTAGTACTTTATTGAGTTACAGTTACATACACTAAGATACTCAAATACTGAAGTATGCAGCTTGACTAATTTTGACAAAAGTATGCATATGTAACCACTGCCTGGTTCAAGATATTGAGCACTTCTGTCACCCCAGGAAGTTTCCTTTTCCTACTATCAAGTCAATTGGAAACTGCCAACCAGATTTTCACCATAGTTATACCCTTCTATACTTCCACCAACAATTTATGAGAGTTCCCAGTACTCTACATTTTTTCTAACACTTTGTTGCTCAATAGTTTTTAATTTTAGCCATTCTGGTGGGTGTGCGTTACATTGAAGATTTTTGTCTGTTTAATAGTTAGAACCTTCATTTCTGGAAGTTCCATGGTTTTTGTTTTTTTAAATCTATATTTGCTAGACTTGTTGCGTGCTTGTCGTCTTTATTTCTTAAGGGAATATATAGACTGTTAACAATAGCTTATTTTTTGATAGTTGATAAATCTGTACTCCTAGTTCTCAGATATCCCTGATCACTATCATAAAAAAATTCGTATTTTCCTCTCACATTGCACTAACTCATCTTCGTGTAATAGATTTTCTTTTCATTTGAAATATCCTCCTTCCCTCCTTATGTAATATAAGTATTCTAATTAGGAAGACCCTCCCTCTTTTTTATGCTATCACTCATTCTTTGTCATACAAGGCTTTTTGTCCCTCAATTAGAATATTGTCTTCAAAGATAAATATAGAACCTATAAGGGTTACTTCAAGGTGCTGAGTTGTGGTATTACTTTAGAAGCGACCAGGATTAATTTATGTATGTTGATGCATATATGTGATTTTGACAAACGTAAATTATAGGTATACAGTATAACTCTTTTAAAGTTTTTCTTATGACTATCTTAACAAAGAGAGTATTTCTTTAAATTTATGTAATTTCTTTAAACTTATATAACAGATTAAATACAGTAAATTCAATTTAGAAAATTAGTATTTTTTATTGTGTACATTTGTCTGGTCTTGCAGTTCTAAGTCTTACAGATTTTATTTTTATCTTCTGTTTTAGGCAATCCTTTATCACAGGATATTCTCAATTTATACCAGGACCCAGATGGAACCCGAAAGCTACTGAACTTCATGCTTGACAATCTTGCAGGTAACTATTATTGACAAAGTAGTGAACTCTACAGATATTACTGCTAGCTCATATGTCACATGTTGCTTAAGAGGATCTGACTTATTTTTTATAACTGCTTATAAGTTTGGATTTCTGCCATTAGTATATCTCATGGTAGTGGGACATTGTTCTTTTCATATACTGAGTGCTTTTTATTTACCAAGCAATACATTAGGAGCTGTAGTTACATTATCTTGTTTAATCTTTCTAAGAACCTACGAGGTAGGAATTTTTACTGGCATTGTATAAATGCAAATTCTGAGATTCAGAGAATAAAGTAATTTACCCAAGTTACACAGCTGATTAATGCCAGAGCTGTGAACCCAAGATTTTCTTACTCTTAATCACAAAGATACATAGTTAGCAATTGTTTGAATTTGATGCAGATTATGTGGAACCCACACATTGTACACATTTTAATTAAGAACACCGGATTTATCTGACTAAAATAGTTGTATTCCAAATGAAAATTTTTTTATATAAGAAAGCTATTAAGTATTTGACTTAAAACATTTTTTTTTGCTTAAGCACTCAAAATAAGGGTTCAAGTGTGGAGATGCTACTACATTCAGATATTTTTCTTAGAAGAATGTCTTTCTAATATACAGAACCCTGAAACAGAGCTAGAGAAGTCTAGATTCCAGCATAGAAGCCATCATCATAATATTTTGGTTATATACTCTTTAATTCTCTCCATCATAGAAGACACCTACATACAAAATTTAAAAAAAATAGTAAGATTTACAATAAGGTAAAACCAAAGTAATATTATCTAAAAAATTTTTATCTAAAAAAGACTAAAATTGATTGATAGGAGAGAGAGAAACTTATTAGAGAGGTTCTTTTAGTAACAAATTAAGAATATGTGGCAGTTTAAGCTGTATATGTAATGTGTGTATACTATTTCCTTCTTGCTTTAAAATTAAATATCTCTCTTGTCTGTATAGATGTAGTCAGTTGACCCAGACGTATGTCATGTGTGTGTGGTGTGTATATCTGTGTAATTTTTAAGGAGTTCTTCATATGTTTTAGATATAAGCCATTTGTTGGTATATATGTTGCCAATACCTTCTCCCATGCTGTTTGCTTTTTCACTCTCTCAATTTGTTTTTTGATGAACAGAAAAATTTTAATATAATTGAATTTATTGTTCTTTTCTATCATGGAACTGCTTTTGTGTCATTTCAGAATTTCCCTCTACCTCAAGCTCATGAATGTATTCTCCTATGTTATTATCTAAAAAGTCCATTTTTTACTTGTAACATTAAGAGCTATAATCTTCCTGGAATTGAAGTTTGTGTAACAGAGGAGTCAATTTTCATAACTTTTCATATGTGTATTAAATTGATCCTGAGCCATTTATTGAAAAGACTGTCCTTTCATTACTGATTTTTAGTACCATCTTTGTCATAAATCATTAATGTATATATGGGTCTGTTTCTGGATTCTGTATTGTCTAGTCTCTTCCACTAGTCTTTATAGCAATATAGCAGTCTTTAATTATGGTAGCTTTATAAAAGGTCTTAAGATTCAGTAGAGTATGTCTCCTTCCTTGATTTGATTCGAAAGTCTTGGCTAGTTTTGGCCCCCATACTTCTTTTACCTTGTGTTTTCATTAAAATTGTTAGAATCAGCTTTTCAAATTTCTCCCTTACCCAAAATGTAGGGAATATATTGAATCTGTAGATTGGTTTGGGAAAAACTGATGAACACTGGGTCTTCTAATCTAACAATGTATAATATTCTTTAATTTATTGTGCCTTCTCTAATTTATCTCAATGTTGAGTTTTAGGTTTCTGTAGTGGTCTTACATGTCTTTTTTTATTAACATTTGTTCTAGGTATTGATTTTTCTTGATGCTCTTAGAGTCTTTTTGAAATGTTAATGATTATTGCTGATTTATGAAATACAGTTGAGTTTTGTATATTTATTGATATTCAGCCACCTTGCTAAATACTTGCTAAATGCCTTTGGTAAATACATATTCAGCACTTTGCTAAACTCTTTTTAATCCTAATGCATTTTTTATTTCAATTTATATGTTCATATCATCTGCAAATAATAACACTTTTATTACTCTCTAATTTTTGTATCTTTTATTGCTTTTTCTTGCCTTATTGCAGTTGCTAAGACAGCCAGTAAAATGCTAACTAAAAATGGTGATAATGGACATCTTTGTCGAATTTCATAATTTATTAGCTTTTAATAATTTATGATTAAGTATGATGTTCTGTGTAGTTTTTGTATAGATAACTTTTATCAGATTAAGGAAATTTTCTTCTATTCTTAGTTTGCTAGGAGAGTTTTTATTTTTTAATATGAATAAATGTTGAATTTTATCAAATGTCTTTCCTCTATTGAGATGAATATATAATTTTGTCCTTTATTCTGTTAATTTGGTAAATGTACCAGTTGTTTTTCATATTATACCACCTTTGTATTACTGGAATAAACCCAAGTAGGTTGTAATATATTATTATCCTTTTTATATATCCTTGTATCCAGTTTGTTAATATTTTACTCAGGATTTTTTTGCATGTGAGTTTGAGTGAGATTGGCCAGTAATTTTACCTTTCCTTAATATCCCTGTCAAGTTTTGATATAAAGGTTAAACTGGCCTCATAAAATTTATTGGGAAGTAGTTTTTCATTTTATATCATTTAAGAGTTTATTTAAGCTTGGTATCCCTTCTTTCTTAATGTTTGGTAGAATACATCTGAACCTGGGGTTTCTTTTTAGGAAGTTTTCAATTATTGATTTAATTTCTTTAATGACTATAGTACTGTTCTGATTTTCCATTTCTCTTTTTATCAATTTCTGAAAGTTGTGTTCTTTGGTATTTTGCCCCTTTTATCTAAATCTTCAAGTTTTTTGACACGAAGTTATTCAGAATATCTTTTTATGATGTTTTAATGTCCATTTGATGTATAATAATGTCTCTTTTCCATTCCAGATATTAGTTATTTATTTTGCCTCTATTTACTTCATGCATAGTCTTGCCCACAGATTTATCAGTATTTTCTTTGAAGAAAAGAACCAATTTTTAGCTTTGTTGTCCCCTATTATATATATAGATATATTTTTGATATCAGTAATTTATCTTTATTTCTTCGGATTTCATTTGTGTTCTTTTTCTACCTTCTTAACATTTAAATCATTAAGTCTTAGACTTTCTTTTTTTTTTCCCAAAGCCTTCATTTATAAATCTCTCTCTAAACATGGGTTTTAGCTGCATCCCACAAGTTTTAATTTGTATTATTTTCCATTATCTTCAGGTCAGCGTATTTTCTAATAGCTCTTATCATTTCTTCTTTGACTAATGAGTCATTTAGAAGTTTTTTTCTTTATTTCTAGGGGAGTTGTAGTTTTCTTTGTCATTGATTCCTAGCTTTTGAATTCCATTGTGGCCAGGGAATGTACTCTGATTGATTTAAATTTTTAAAATGTGTTATTTATTACCTAGTACAAGGTTAATTTTCGTAAATGTTAAGTATGCGTTTAAAAAGAATGTGCATTCTGTAGTTACTTGGTGCTGCAGTCTATATATGTTAAAGTTCATTAGTTATTTGAATGTGTTGTATATGCTTAGTGATTACTTTGTTTTTATTCATTACTGATAGAGCTATGTTAAAATCTCCCACTTTGATTGTAGATGTTTATTTCTTCTTGTAGCTCTTGTAGCCTTTTTCTTTCTTTCTTTTTTTTTTTTGTGAGGAAGATCAGCCCTGAGCTAATATCCACACCAATCCTCCTCTTATTTTGCTGAGGAAGACTGGCCCTGGGCTAACATCTGTGCCCATCTTCCTTCACTTTATGTGGGATGCCACCACAGCATGGCCTGACAAGCGGTGCATCAGTGTGCGCCCAGGATCCGAACCCAGGCCGCCAGCAGAGGAGCGCGTGCACTTAACCGCTATGCCACGGGGCCGGCTGCTCTTATAGCCTTTTAATTGTAGATTTTGAGTGTCTGTTTTCATGGGTTCCATCATTCTGGTTATTTGAAGCTTTTATCGTTATGTTCTTATTACTTTGATATTAATATAGTTACATGAAAAATTATAGCTATACGAGTTCTCTTCTGGTTAGAATTTGCACTGTGTATCTTTTTGTGTTCTTTTATGTTTAACTTTTCTGTTTCTCTATATCTTAGTATTTCCTTCTGTCTGCTTGCTTTGGTTTTATTTTGTTCTTTTTCTTGTTTGAAGTAAAAACTGAGGTTGTTGATTTGAGATCTTTCCTCTTTTTTGATGTACGCATGTAGCATTATAAATCTCCCTTTCAGAACTACTTGAGCAGCATCCCTCAAATTTTGGTGTGTTGTATTTTCATTGTTTAATGTATTTTTTAAAATTTCCTTTCAGACTTCCTCTTTGACTCATGGATTATTTAGAAATGTGTTGTTTAATTTCCTATTGTATTTCTGTTATTCTTGTTTGATTCCAGTCTGGGACCAGTTAGAAAACCTATTCTGTATTATTTCAGTTTCTTCAAATTTGTTTGTTTTATTGTCTGTCTTGGTGAGTGTTCCATGGGTGCTTGAAAAAGTGTATATGCCATAGTTGTTGGGTGGAGTGTTCTATAAATGTAAATTAGATCATTTTTGTTGTTGGTGGTGTTCAGTTCTTCTCTGTCATTTGTAATTTTCTATCTAGTAGTCCTATCAAATGCTGACATTTTAGGGTTGAAATCCCCAACCATAATTGTGGATTTGTCTATTTCTCTTTTCAGCTCTGTTAGTTTTTGCTTCATGTATTTTGAGGCTGTGTTGTTTGGTGTATACATACTTAGGATTGCTACATCTTCTTGGTTTGATTGATCCTTTTATCATCATGTAATGACTTTGTTTCTAGTATTTTCTTTGCTGTTAAGTCTGCTTTATCTGATATTAATATAACCACTCTGCTTTTTTGGTTTAATGTTAACATCGTATATCTTTTTTCATTCTCTTACTTTCAGCTTTACTATGTTGTATTTGAAGT